TCGTTTATTTTTTGTTTATTTTTGTGTTAAGGTGATTGTTTGTTTATCTGTTGTTGTCGTTTTTGCTTATTTTTTCTTTCAAAGTACATTCTATAGATAGGTTCAAAAGAACGTGTGTGTGTGTGTGCATGTGTGTGTAAACATCATTTGCATGTCCTGTCTCCTGTGTAATATGCTTTACAATAATAGAGGATCTAGGTCTCCTGTTCACAGTATTAATGGTTTCCGCGGGGGGGGGGATTCTCTTTGCTTCTGAAGCTGTTTTAGGAATATGCTCTGAACCTAGAGCCCTTACTTGTAGAGATCTATGAGTCCTCCTCTTGTGGCCACAGTGGGATGTGACAACATTTTTCACATGTTCTAAGGGCTTAGATGGATGTGTAGGCTTCACTTTCTCAATTATTATGATCTTAGCTGCATAAAAAGTCTTTTTAACCACAGCAACGTTCAATCTTTGTCTAGTTGTCAAGCTGCCATGATCACCCATATTGGATAGTTAGTTGTACTCCATCTTTCTTAGTGCGGTGAGTTGGAGAATGGGTCTTGGTGTTCCGCTGATTACTTTATATCTCCTGATGAACACTTGTCTGGATAATTGTTATCAACTAGAGTTTACGTCAATTTTCTTTCCTCCTCGTTGCATATTCGTTGGATTTTTTACTAAAGTGGCACCCCTTACTAAGGCTCTTTTATACCGAACACGACAGAAACTGTGATAATTAAGATATTGTCCTCTCCAGGTAGCTTTTCTATAAATAGATTGTTTTATCGATCTATTCATCCATTCTTTAAGACTGTAGAAAAATAAAGTCTCCAAGAAATGGTAATGTTTGGCCGTGAAGGAGGAGTGCCAAGAAAATGACATCCCAGTAATCAAAAGCACCCTATCCGAATTCACTGAGTCCTGGTTGACATGTTAACAGGATATAGTCTTGTTGAATTAGAGTATGCAGATGATATAGTCCTTCAAGGTGAAGACGCTGATTAATTTCAGAGTCTTCTGAAAATCTATTGCAGAAATCTTCGAATGTTTGGCATGGGGTTTTGCTCCTGTCAAATGTAAGGTGATGATGCTACAGGACTAGTCTCTACATCGACTCCTGACTTAAAGATAGGAATGGAGTGAAGTGGTAGAATGTGTTGACCACTTCACTTATTTGGGTGGTTGATATCTGACGAAATCTCATCATAGATACAAAAGGCTCGTCTGACGTTTGTTAACATACGCTATATCTCTGACATAGAGGTGATAACCGACTATTGACCAAAAGAGGTGTATACTGTGCACTAATTCCTCGTGTCCTCCTTTGTGTCTGTGGAACACGACCATTGAAAGTAGAAGATATGAAAAGGTTAGCTATCTTTGATCATAAATTGTCTTCGTTCTATCCCCCGTGTTAGGTGTTATAATAAGGTTATGCATCCCTAGCAATCTCCTGCTTTATACGATCAATGTTAACTGACATAGAATTATTCTGAAAAAGCGTTAGAAGTGGTCAAACCAAAAAATATGGAGTCACTTCACGAAATCTTCGACAATTAGTTTGAGCCGACTACATAGCAAGGTGTAGAATACCTGGTTGGGTTCCTCGAGATACTAAGAACCAATGGCTGGGGACAATTAGTGGTGGTATTTCTCGAAATCGCTGACATTTTTCTTTTTGATCTCTCATATTCAATAAAACCCTATTCTTTTTCCCTCACATTTCTGCTTATCGTCCTTTCGAGTCTCTTTTCTCTCTCTCTCTCTCTCTTGTTTTTTACATGAAGTGTGTGGGAAATTGAAGTGCAAAGTTCTATGTTGAAACCAGTCAGTCAGTCAGTCCATCATAAAACTAACTTTTCAGGAGCTGATTTTTAAGGATTTGATTTGTCTTTCAGGTTTGACTCTTATGTGATGCTTGAATAAAGCAAGAACAAAAACAGTGGTTTGTATAGAATAAAACGACGGTACCATCAGTGCTTATTTTATTGGCTTCCCATCACCTCAGCTGCTTACAGGCCAAAGTCATTATTATTAAGTTTATGTACAGAAACAATTTTAACATACGCGTTTAACGACAAAAGACAAGGGTCAGGCGACAGATCGTTTACTAAGAAAATCAACAGATATTTATGTATTTTTATGTACATTATTATTCGTTATTTTAGCAGCGAAACAGCGTCTTCTGATTGGTTGTTTCTCGCTGAAAGTTATTCTGTCATCTCTTTGTGTCTATTTCTTTGAAAGCCAAACCATGTATATATATCTGAGAATCGTATCCGCCCACGCAAAGTCTGCTGTTCTTGTTTTTTTTCCTCCTCATGACCAAGATTTGGAACGTAAACGTTGACGTAAATTGCTGTCCGCCAATGTTGGCTAGCAGACAGCTCTCACCACACGTGCACAGAGTTCATTTTTAAGCGAAAAAAATCAATATATGCATACAATGCTAATAATAATAGTAATTATTATTATAATAATCACTTTATTCCAAACAATAATGATCATACACAACAGAAATTTTCGGTATTACTTAATCAGACGAAAGAGAGGGTGTGAAAAAACCCCAATGTCTGAAACCTGATTTATGTGTGTGTGTGTGTGTGTTCAGAAAGAAGCAGTTATCAGTTTTTCTTTCCTTGTCCTGTCTGGTAACTAACTGGATGTTTTCACATTCTTTTTTTCGTTTGATTACGTAATGCCGAAAGTTTCCATTAGATATGATTATTATTGTCTGAAGTAAAGTATTTATTATTATTATTATTACTAGTATTTTATGCATATATTGATTTTTGATCTAGAAATGAACTGTCTGTGCAAGTATGTTAAAATTATTTCTGTACATAAACTTAATATTATCTTTTCTATGGGCTGTAAGCAGTTGAGCTCTGGTGAGTAGCCAACGAAATAAACAATGATGGTACCATCGTCTTATTCTGCACAAACCGCTGTTTTTGTTCTTGCTTTATTCAAATTCATTAGTGGGGAATAAATGTATGTGGTGATATTTCGTCTTTGGCCCCTTTGAGAGAAATGCACAACATTCGGTTGTTGAAAGCGCCAATTATAAACAAAAAGGTATAGGAGTACATTTTTTAACTGAAGGACATAATAATAACTGAATAATTTTGAAGGCTTCTCAGGTCTTTCTAGTTTTATTTCTCAGGCAGCGGTAGTTTGTACTAAAAATCCCACGGAAAGTTATCTCATGTATATTGGGGATACCTTGCTAAACAACAGTTTGGTTGATGTTTCTTTCAAGTTTAGTAGAAACTGGCGGACCAGGATGTTGTAGACATTTTAGATGTTAGTCTGGCTGTCAAACGTCGGGTATACAATGCTTCAGTGCGGGCTGTCTTGCTCTACACCAGGCCTGTGGAACCTGGCCTCTCCAAGCTGAGAATGTACGGCGACTCTGCGTTTTCGATCATCACTGCCTCTGCAGGATTGCTTGCCTTTATATGGATGGCATCATCGTGTGAGTAATTCTGAGGTTCGGCAACGTGTGTTTGAACACAGTGGAGATCGCCATTCTTTGAGTGTCGTCATCTGGAAACATCGGCTCCAGTGGCTTGGACATGTGCTGCGAATGTCATCCCAGAGGCTTCCGTACAGGTCTTTGTTCGCTAGCCAGCCCTGGGGCGGGATGGAAAAGGTGGAGAGGTGGTTAGTCCATGACGTGACATCGTGGGATGAAGGATCTTTGTGATAAATTAGCATCGGTTGTTGTGTCACGGCTCCCTGGTTGGGGTCCGAGAGATAGCTCGAAACGTTATCGGATATGGCTAAGAATCTTAATCAATGGCGAATGTGTTGCAATTTCCTTCTTTCTTTCCTTCCGATGATAGTTAACGAATACTGTTTGAACCTGTTAAGCATGACTGTTTTCCTTCCAGATGAAGTTCTTTATCCGTTCTCTACTTATATATACTTTTTTTAAACTGTTGATCTATGTTGTTTTATTATTATTGGTGCCACATTGTGCCAAGTTTTTTCTGCATTTAAATAAATGAAACATTTTAGACATTTGCGATAAAGAAAGCATTAGGCGTGAAACTTATAACTTATTATTAAATAGTCGGTAGAACATCTGGATGTTGTCTTTCCAACTCATATCATTTATAGGTACAGCGTTTTCTTTCTTTCTTTTCCTTTCCTCTCTCTTTTTTGTCTTTGTTATGTGCCGTTTTGTTTCTCTCTTCCTTACAAACTCTACTTCAAACATTCCTCTTCGTTCTTTCACACTTCGTATATCTCGACCTTTTTGTTACCGCTTACGCCAGTAAATATTCTAGCATCTACTTTTCTAACACCTTCAAACATTCTGTTCAATTTTTGGCTTTGCTACCGATATGCTAATATGTTGTTGTCAAAAACTAACTGAGATTACCCATAATCTATGCAATACTGTAGTGAAATGCTGAGAATTCCTTTTTGTATCACAAGTACTGTTTTGGAATAAAACAAATTATTATTATTATTATTTAAATACCCGAGAGAGTAGAAAACACCATTAGTGGTGATATTTCAATAGATTAAAACGAACTGAACACACGGGGGAGGAATTGTATGCGATATAATGATGAAGTACTTTGGTAGTCATGCGTCGGTAGCATAGCGGTTAGGACGCTCGCCAGTCATGCCGCATGTGGTCCGGGGTTCGATCCCCGGCCACTGGACGCACTCCTTTACCTCGCTAAGCCAGAAATAATGCTGGTAAAGAGGAAAGGTTGGGCATGAGACTATCAACCCCATCATGTAAAAAAATTAACACTGCTACAGAAACTTCAAGCCACTAGCTTGAAGCCCTATGTTCCACTGGGGAACGTGAAGGAAAAGGAAATTTTGGTAGTGTGTTAAGAAAGTTTTAAAAAGCCCGCCTTATCTAGCAGACTTATTGATATTCATTCCCTTTTCCGTTTCTTAATATTTATTTAGTGTATTTTTTGTGCTATTTTTATCAGACTACTTATTTTATCATTTTCTCTCTCTCTTTCTCTCTTTGATTGACCGACAGATTATCATCATCATCATCACAGCAACAATCTCGTTCCACTATACTGTCACGTGATAGAGATACAGCTGCACTGCTGACAAGTAATAATTCCAGTGTAAGCCGCCTACACTTCAAAAAACAATCATTGAATGGCACTGCATTGAATTCTTCGGATAATAAAATTTCACGTAGCTTAATGAAACTACCTGAAATCCCTTCAGATTTAAACAATAATAATAATAAAAATACACCAACAATCTTGTCTATGCCTAATTTCAACAACTGGGATTTTAAGAATTCTGATTGGTTGAAATTGTCTAGTGTTGCAAATACCTTGTTATCGGCGTCGTCTTCACCACCAACAGCAACAACAACAACACCAGCTACAATTAAGACACCACTTCAAGGATTATGGGAGTTATCAGAAGCAGAATTTCACAGAAAGAGTTTATCTTATGTAGCACAAATGATCAAAGCGAATAATCAGAATTTAAGTAATAGTAATAATGATAATAATAATCCTACAATGTCATTTATGAATAAAACTAAAACTGATTTAGAGGTAAGAGTTTATTTATTTAGTACTTTTTTCCTATACTTTTGCGTTTAATAGTTACTTCCAAGTATTGATTTGTAAGGATTTCATCAGGAGCTGACATCAGTTAGAGAACCATTGGAAAACCAACTGGGAGTACTACTGCCAGACAGCTGTTTCGTCAGCCTAGTTTGGGACTCTTCATCAGTACACACCCACCACCAGAGGGGTTCGAACCCAACACTTTCTGGTGACAAGACGAGAGAGCTTGCAGACCATTAAACAGCCACTGGGAGCCAATCCAATGGCCAGTCTATGAATTGCAACTTCTGTCAATTCATGATACATACGTAGCGCGACCAATTCGCTCAATATTTTCTTCAATGGGTTACTGCCTCACCTTCAACCTGCTGTACCCTACTGGTCACGTTTTCCTACTAGATTAGATAGGCAGATAGGGGATAAGCAGGAAGAAAGTCTAACGCGGGAACCTGTCGTCCAGTAAACACGCCAAAGGAGATAAAGATTGACTGGACACATACACACTGAGGAGAGACTGTTGAATGACATCATGCTGAAAACCCTCGAGTGGAACCGAATGGGAAACGACGATTTAAGCGTAGATCATCGCGTGACACAGAGGAGATGAGAGAGCTTATGGTCATCAGTCGTGGAGCCAGCTAAAGAGAACAGGATGAAATGGAAATGTGCTGTTGGAGCGTTATGTTCCACTCGGAATCCGAGGGAATAATTATGTATATATAATAGTGGGGATGTTTTAACCCTTCAATGTCTTCACGAAATGTCGAACAATTCTCGGGTGCTCCATCACCTGATTATTGCCTTGTCTATCATCATTGTGTATACCTGTCTCTTTTAGGTGTTGATTGGCATAGTAGTAGTAGTAGTAGTAGTAAAGTAACAAAAAAAGGCAAGACACGGAAGCCAAGGTCTATTTTTCATTAATCAAACCGCTGTTTATGTACATACAGTTTGTATTCGTTAACCACCAATCACTGAGCGTGGGATTTTCGTTTACATCAAACGACATAAAATAGAATGTTCAAGTATACATAGTATTCTGTTGTTAACGCAATAATGAACTGTGAGAATAATATTCCATTGGAACACATTGTCTATATTCCACCACCGCGCTCGTCCCCCCGTCAAAGACTGTCGACTGAAGTCAGTTCAGTCTTCTTGGTGCTGGCGGCTTTATTCGCCTGTCCTTCTGTATCCACTTCTGGAGCTCGCTGATGTTCATCCGCTTCTCTTTGTTTGTATTACTGATTGCATATACGTGACGCCGTCTCACGGTGACCATGTATGGTCCTTCCCACTTTGGAAGCAGTTTGCATAACCCTGGCGCGTATTCACCGGTGTTTCGTTTCAACTATCCTATGCTGCCTTCGTTCGACCTACCAGCAGCGTTCCAAGTAACAGCCTCGTCACTGACGGATCTTGAACGCCACTCAACTGCGCAACAGCCTCGAAGTCCTGTCAGAAGATCCATATGTCTCCATCGAAAAAACTGCAGGACATAAGCTTCCCATTTTCTAGCAGGCAGAGACACCAAATGTAACAGCGGATGGCAAGATACGGAAGCCAAGGCATATTTTTCATTGATCAAACCGCTGTTTATATCTCTACAGTTTATGTTAGTTAACCAATTAACTGAGCACGTGATTTTCGTTTACATCAAACGACATGAAATAGATTGTTCAAATATATATCTAGTATTCTATTGTTAACGCAGTAATGAACTGTGAGAATAATATTCCGTTGGAAGACACCAGCACCCCAGTATTTGTAATAGCTCGAAATGATTCATCTGTAGGTTAATTTGCCTGTAGACAAATCCTTTCCAGATTACTGTTGTTTCACTTTTACCAACTTATTTAACTTATTCTTGTTTTAAATCTATATTTTTCCAGCATGAAAGTGACCACCATCATCCCCTGCCTAATGATAGTCCAACTGATTTAAGCACCGCCGTCGCCGACACCACCAATGCAACAGTAAACAACACCAGGAATACAATAGAATCTACACAAACTCGTAAACATCGATATTCATCCGATGAGCTGTTATTGACAAGAACAACATCAACAACACCATCACCTAGAACATCACTATTAAGTGCATCATTATCACCACCATTTTGGGCATCTAAATGTTCACGATCATTCGATGATAAACAACCACAACCACCACCCCAACAACACCAACAGCACTATGATGAAACCATAAAGAATCCTTTTTATACAACAAGTTCAGCTTTTTAAACACAAATGATGCAATCCTAGAGTTTATTAATATTATTACTAATATCCTTAACATTATGATTATTACTCTACCACTATTGTTCTTCTTCCCCACCCCCACCGTTTTGTCCCAATGGATGGATACACGCATACACGCACACATCTACATATGTTCATACTTGATACGATATTAATTGGCTTCTTTTAAAAAGAGAGGGACAATATGATGGTGATGATGTTGGTGAGAGACCACACAGATCAAATTATGTTTTGCTCAAATAGCTAACTAGCTAACTAACTATAAACGCTTCCTTTGACATACATACACACCCACACAACTTGATACATAAACGCACACATACGTGTGTGTATATATATATATGTATGTATGTATATGCTGCAGTGAAGCAAGCACCGCTATGAAGCACTAGAGTTACATATTACTATTATTATTATTACTACTATTTCTCCTATGTACAAGAACCGTGCATTATTATTATTATTACTACCATTATTTCTTCATTGAAAGAATAAAATATTTTATAGAAAATAAGGCTTTATTATTATTATTTACTAGCATTCTGCCTTTTATTTAAAAAAATTATATCTATATAAATATTTTACAGTATTATGAAGGATCAATAGATAGCGATGAAGATGATAATAATGGACAATGAATGATAAATGACGATTATTCATGCTAATTCATACATACATACAAAAGGCAAGAGGAGAAGAAAAAAAAAAGGAAGAGTGATAATTGGAATTGTGTCGTCGCCACTTTTCCTTTCTTTTTCATACAGGATTGAAATTTATACGTTTCGCTGTAAATCCACCTGGTCCAACAAGCGTTACTGTCCTTGGGGCCCCGGTTGCTGAGGTGACAGTAAATGCCGGTGTATTTGTAATAAATGCTGATGTGGGTGTACCACCACCACCGACACCAGTCGCAACAATACTACCAAGTGGACGTTTAAGACCCATTGTTAAATTAGCCATTGATGCACGACGTTCAGCTGAACTAATCATCAGGTTAACATCTTGTAAATCTTTACCAGTACTACGACCAATAGTGAATATGACTTTTTTCGGGGATAAATTCACTTGTTGTTTTACTGGACTGATAAAGATATTACGATTACTGGCTAAACGTCTAAGAAAAAAAATGCAAAGAATAAAAAAAAACGTGATCAGGAGTATTTTTATTTTAATCCAAATATATATATATAGAAAAAAATAGAACAGTTGCCAATTAATGTCTAGAAAGAGTGAGACGTGTCCTAAGCTGAGTAATCACTAATGACATAATCATTATAACCATTAGGTGAGGACGCTGAAAAAATGCAGAGTCTTCTAAACACATTGAGCTGCATGCGATTCGCTCCCACCAAATGTAAGATGATGCTACAGGACTGAACTACACTGACTCCTAGTTTAGAAATAGGGAGTGAAGTGGTAGGGCACGTTGACCGCTTCACTTACTTGGGAAGTACCATCAGCCAATGCCAACAGGTTGATCTCCGATGAAATATCAACACGGGTACTGAAGGCTCGCTTAGCATATGCCAGTTTATTCCGTTTCCGGTATAGACGTGATATCTGGCTATCGACCAAAGGGCGGGTGTACTGCTCAGCAGTCCGCTCCGTCCTCCTTTACGGCTGCGAGTGAGACATGAAAAGTCAACCTAGCTGTCTTTGATCATAGGCGCCTGCGTTTTATCTCCCGTGTTGAGTGCTGTAATAAGGTGAGCAGTATTGAGGTTAGGCGTCGAAGGCTAGGTAAGGTGGATAAATCAATCGACGAGACTGTGAAGCTACATCGACTGAGATGGTTAGGACATGTGTTACGTATGCCCGACTAACCATCGCCTACTTCGACGGATGATGTTAGCTGACGTGGGATGGATCAGGCAGGAAAAGATCTACGGGCGGTCAAACCAAAACATGGCTTCATCAGTCAATGAAATCCACAAAAATTAGTTTCAGCTAGTCATATAGGAAGGTGTAGACTTCCTGTCTGGTTGGGGTCCTCAGAACGGTAAAAACCAATGACTGGAGACAATTGGTAATATGGCTCAAAATCGTCCTCAATGTGTAGCGCAGATGCATCCACTTCTTGTGACTTATAATACCCAAAGAAACTATATTGTTCTTCGTTATTACTATTCCTTTTGTCTCATATCCCGGTATACTGTCTCTAATATGCATTTCTTTTACTTTCTTCTCTTGCTTTGTGTGCTATATGGAGAGAGAGAGTGGCGACTTGAACTGCTGCACATCGGTGCAAGGTTCTATGTTGAAACCAGTCCAGTCAGTCATTAGAGTTCTAAATGAAACTTCAGGTATACTGACTCTCAACTATTAATTGAGTGATGACACTGTGTAAAAAAACTAAATAACTTTCGTACTTTGAAAGCTTGTACGTGTGCAATATGCATACAGTGACTGAAGGTATTCATGATTATCATCTACGCTGTACACACACACACACACACACAGTTATCCTCTGACTAATGAGTATTTTGAAAACTTTATTGTACGACACACACCTAATGAATGATTTCATAAAAGAACCTTGCACAGAAGTAAAACAGTTCGAGTTGGCGGGGCAAGGGAAGACAGAAAAACAGTGGGAAGTCGTGACCAGTAGGGTGCAGCGGGTCGAGTGTGAGGACAAATACTCGCCGAAGACATTGGCTAGCGGTCGCGCTATGTCGTGAATTGGCAGAAGTTAGAATTCATGGGCTGGCCATTGGATCGGGTCCCAGTGGCTTAATGGTCTACGAGCTCGCTAGCCTTGTAACCAGAAGGTCCTGGGTTCGAATCCCGGTGGGTGCGTACCGATGAAGAGTCCCAAACTAGGACGAAACAGCTGTCCAATACTCCTAGGTTTTCCAGTGGTTCTCTAACTGATGTCAGCTCATGATGAAATCTTATAATCAATCAACCAAATCCCTACAAACCAACACTTAAATAGAAAACAAACGAATTCAAAAAGAAAAACCCGATAATAAGCAGAAATGTGAGGGAGATGGAGAGAAATAGAAACATGAAAAAAACATTACAGAAAGGGTCATCAATGCACCTGCGTCATTAACAATGATTTCGAACAAAATATCACCAATTGTCTCCAGCTGTCATTGGATCTTAGAATCCCGAGGATCCCAACCAAGAACTGTACAGTTGTCTACATAATTGGCTGGCTCAAACTAACTGTTAGAGACTGCATGTGGACTGATTCCATGTTTCTGTTTGGCCATCACTAACTCTTCACCAAATTGACCCCTCATGTCAGTTACTACTGGCTGTTAAGGAAGGTGATGGCTCGGAAAGCGTAACATCTCCTAGCTTTCTAGTCGTCTATCCTGGGATCTAATTATAGTGCCATTTATCTCAGAGATTGTTTCTCTTATCATTTGCCTTTTGTCACCTGATAAGTCTAAATAGTTGTTTGGTGTTACCAATCGCCGATGCCTTTCCCATCTCCTTTGCTTCTTTCGCCCAGTGGCTGTCCGATTATTAACAGCTTTTACCAGCTGTGTCTACAGCTAACTGTATGTTGTGCCAGGCTTCTTCAGGAGTAGTCCTGCTGTCAACCCCAGGTACTCGTTTCGCTATTTCTTCCTTAGGTAGGGACTCAGAGTTTCAATCTAGTTGGAGACGTAACTGCTTCGCTGCCAACAATATCTTATGTCTGTTTAACCGTAAGCATAAACGTGTGCGAACCAGGGCGTGATCAGAGTCTACACATGTGTTTCAGAAGGAGCGACAGTCTTCTAATGACCCTCGCCAACCATACTTTATCGCTATGTGATCTATCTGAGTTCAGTGTTGATTTTGTGATGGAGGTCGCCAGGTTGCTCAGTGTCTAGGAACAGATGATTATCTGAGCAGAACTGTAGAAGACGATCACCGTTGTCGGTTCGTCGGCAAGGAGGTTAAATCAATCGATGAGGCTGTGAAGTTACACCGATTAAAATGATTAAGACATGTGTTACGTATCCCTAGTTATCACCTTCCTTGACATTAAGCAATGTTAGCTGACAAAGGGTCAGGTTGGAAGAGAACCAGTGGTGGTAAACCAAAACATGACACCAGTCAATGAAATCCACAATTGTTAGTTTAAGCTAGTCACATAGGAAGGTGTAGACTTCCTGATTGGTTGGGGCACTCGGGACAGTGTGCGTCGGTGGCACAGTGGTTAGGACTCTCGCTGACCATGCACATGGTCCGAGGTTCGATCCCTGCCGACGCACACCTGATATCTATGGTCGGTCTGCAAAATTTGGGCTACCGATATCACATGCTGAAACTTCCACACTTGTACCAAAAATACAGTGTGGAATCAAGCTGTAAATAAAAAAAACCAATATTTGGAGACAATTGGTGATATGGCTCAAAATCGTTCGCAATAGCTAACTCAAATGCACCCACTCTTTGTGGCTTATAATACCCAATGAAACTATGTTGTTCTTCGTTATTACTATTCCTTTAGTCTCAAACCTCTGTTTACTGTCTCTATTATGCATTTCTTCTACTTTCTTCTTTTGCTTTGTGTGCTACATGGAGTATATATTACTCAACCTATTATCCCATCTAATAGGAGAGATAGAACACAAACGTCTATGATCAAGGAAAGTTAGTCTTTTTATATAGCTCCACTTTCATTGGCCATGTTTGTCTCACAACCATAAAAGAAAGACAGAGTGAAATGTTAAGCAGTACATACGATGACATATGAAAAATAAACGGATAGCCTTCATCAAGTAGGCTACAGTATCCGAAAGAGATGAAATTGTGCAACTGACAGCTTAAAAAACTTTGGTGAATTATGAAGTCTACCTAGCGATTAACACTACACCGCACACCTTTTTCCTAACGTCAGGGATGATGTTTCGCCTCCCTCAGTAATCATGACGACTGAATTCTATTTGACTTTATGGCAAAAGATCTTGATTTGGCTGTGTTCTCTCAAAGACCACAAAAAACTCATACTACCACATATATGAAGAATATCCCTGAAATAACGGCTAGAATACTAAGACCACTTGAAGTAGACATGACACACAAACTAAGACAATCACTTCATTCAGTATTGTCCAGACTAAAGAAACTAACATCGAAAGAAGATCAAATCAATACGGTATCTGCAGAATAACTTGCATAGACTGCGATAAATACTACATCGGTCAAAGTAGGAGACCCCTTTCGAATCAGAATCCAAAACCAACACACGATATATATATTTATCCTTTTATATTAATGAATACAAACACCATTTTTGATTGGGAGAATGTAGAAATTTAGAAACAGAAGAAACACCAAACAAGTGCCAGGGAATTTCTAGAAGCTCCTGGTATTCAGATCAATCAGCTATTAACAAACACATTACACTATGGATCAAATTTACCAGCTATAATAAAGAATAAGTGCTTCAGCATAACAAGAAAGTTCAAATCTGAAGTCAATAAACAAGAAATAATCAATATAAATTGACAATCAATCACAACAATAGTGGTTGTCAAGAGATACAGTTAAAGCATTCATGAAGAATTCAAAGAAGTTCATTTCATATTATGGCTTGGACAGAAGATATCGTCCAGAAAGACAATTAAAGCATCAAAATTCAGGACTCCAGGTGATGAAGATAACCAACCAACAATAACAACCAGCACAAATCAACCATCAACAGGAGAGATTTGACAGAGGCCAGGAAGCACAGTCTCAACCACAAGTAGGTACACGGAACGGATAAAGGTGTCAAAGCCAGCCAGAGTCGGGAAGGCAACATACACACCTTCATCAATCTGAAACGAGTTTGAAAATCTTCTACACTGCACTATAAACAGTATCAAAAACAAGATTCGGATTCTAATCAACACAAATGTCAAGCCAATCAGTCAGTAAGTGATTCATTCTATACGGGTCAAAAACTTGCACTGTTTCACGAAAAAGCATTTCCAAAAGCCTGTCGCAGACTTTTATTAACCGCTGCCACCTTCGCTGGGTCCATACTGCAGATCGAATAGCTAACTGGACAGAATTAATTAGCAAAGAGAAACTCTAGCTGGGAACAAACCAACAGGCGAGAACCGATTCTTCAACAAATATGTAGGAGAAAAATGAGATGGATGGATTGGGCGTACATTGAGG